TTTTCTTTTTTGTTTACAATTCCTTTCTTCCTTCCTTCCTTCCAAGATTTTATTTATTTATTTGACATGGGTTGGTGGGGAGAGAGCAAGCACAAGCCAGGGGAGTGGCAGGCAGAGGGAGAAGCAGGCTCCCTGCTGAACAAGGAACTGGATATGGGGCTCAGTCCCAGGACCCTGGGTTCATGACCTGACCGAAGGCAGCTGCTTAACCAATTGAGCCACCCAGGTGCCTGCTTTTTGAGTTTTTTAAAAGAAAATTTAAATGAAAAATTTAAAATACAATCAAAAGTAAAGTAAAATGAGTCTCCAGGTACTTATCATCCTGCTTCAACTATTATAAAATACGGTCATTTTGTTTCATGTCTCCCCCCACCATTTCTCTCAGACTCCCACAGAATTATTTTAATGCAAATGCTAGACATTATACCATTTCATTGGTAAGTACATGAGTATGTATCTCTAAGAGATAAGGACAATTTTTTTCTTTGTTTCTTTCTTTTATTTTTTTTTTAACAAAATCATAACACCTGCCATGGTGAGTGCTGTGAAGTGTGTAAACCTGGCGATTCACAGACCTGTACTCCTGGGGCTAATAATACATTATATGTTAATAAAAAATAAAAAGTTAAAAAAATCATAACATCATTATTGAATCCAACAAATTAACAATGATACCCTGCTATTATATAATATCCAACAAGTGTCCAAATTTTCCTAATGAGTTCATAAAAGTTTTTCTATAGATAATTTGATTCAGAACCCAAAGTCTATATTACATTTGGTTGATATATTTCTTTTTTTTTTTTTAAGATTTATTCATTTACGGGGCGCCTGGGTGGCTCAGCGGGTTAAGCCGCTGCCTTCGGCTCAGGTCATGATCTCAGGGTCCTGGGATCGAGCCCCGCATCGGGCTCTCTGCTCAGCAGAGAACCTGCTTCCTCCTCTCTCTCTGCCTGCCTCTCTGCCTGCTTGTGATCTCTCTCTGTCAAATAAATAAATAAAAAATCTTTAAAAAAAAAAGATTTATTCATTTACTAGACAGAGAGAGAGAGAGAGAGAGAGCCAGAGATGTATGATCAGGGAGAAAGGCAGAGGGAGAAAATCTCAAGCAGACTCCCCGCTGAGTGTGGAGTCCAACATGGTGCCTCAGTCTCACCACCCTGAGATCATGACCTTAGCCAAAACCAAGAGTCAGACACTTAACCAACTGAGACACCCAGGACCCCTGGTTGATATATTTCTTAAGCCTCTTTTTTTCCATAACAGTTCTCCCCTCTCCCCATTTTTCCTTGCATGTATTTGTTGAAGAAACTGAGGCATTGATTCTATTTTATTCCTGGTTATATTCCTAATGGTGTTGTTTAATATAATCTCCTACTTCTTATACTTCCTGTAAGCTGATAGTTATATTTAGAGTTTTGGGTTTTTTTGCAAGAATCCTTCCTAGATAATACTCTGTGGTTCCTATTGTATCCCATTAAGAAAGCACATAATGTTTTGTTGTTTCTCTTTTCATGATGTTAAGTTTTTATCAGTGTATGCACATGGTATGGGCTTGATTCACCTATAAGCTTCTTACATAATGTTTCTGACAGTCATTAATGACTATTGCCTAAATTAATTCATTAGAACTGCAAAGTAATGACAGTTTATTATTCCTTCTGCATTTATTAGCTGGAATTCTTCTATGAAGAATAATTGCTTCTTAAAACTAGTTACTTTATCTATTCAATTTTTAATTTAAAACTTTACTTTTTCATTTCTAGAAACTCTATTTTAAATGTTAGATCATTCTGTTTTCTGACATACTTTCAGTGTTCTCTTTTATTTCTTTTAGTAAGCATGATTATTTTATAATATGAGTCAGACAATTACAATATCTTAAGTCCTTAGGGCATTTTTTCATTGCCTTCTACCTTACAGTTTGGATGAATTGGTAAGCCTAATGCTGTTCTGATTTTTAAAAAATATTTTATTTATTTGAGAGAAAGAGCACGAGATGGGGGAAGGACAGAGGGATAAGTAGACTCCCTGCTGAGGGCAGAGTCCAATGTGGGGCTTGATTCCCAAACCCTGAGATCATGACCTGAGCTGAAGTCAGCTGCTTAACCGACTGAGCCACCCAGGTGCCCCATTCTGATTTTTTAAAAGATTTTATTTATCTACCCAACAGAGAGAGGAATCACAAGTAGGCAGAGAGGCAGGCGGTGGGGGGGCGGGGAGGAGGCTCCCTGCTCAGCAGGGAGCCCAATGCGGGGCTTGATCCCAGGACCCTGAGATCATGAACTGAGCCAAAGGCAGATGCTTAACCTACTGAGACACTCAGGCAAACCACCCTGTTCTGATTTTTGATCTTTTTTTTTTTTTTAAAGATTTTTTTAATTTATTTGTCAGAGAGAGAGGGAGAGAGAGCGAGCACAGGCAGACAGAATGGCAGGCAGAGGCAGAGGGAGAAGCAGGCTCCCCGCCAAGCAAGGAGCCCGATGTGGGACTCGATCCCAGGACGCTGGGATCATGACCTGAGCCGAAGGCAGCTGCTTAACCAACTGAGCCACCCAGGCGTCCCTGATTTTTGATCTTTGTATGCAACTTGTTCTTTCTCTTTGGGAGCTTTTAGAATTATATCTCTGTGTCCAGTGTTCTAAAATTCTATAATGATGTGTCTTGGTGTGGGTCTGATTTGTTTTGCTGGATAGTGTGCCCTTACAATTTAGAGTCTCAGTTGTTCATTTCAGGGGCATACTTTTGAATAATTGATTTAATTGTTTCTTCCCTTCTGATTCTTTGTCTTTCTACAACTCCCATTATTCAGATATTCAACCTTCTCGGCTGATCCTCTAATTTTATTGATTTCCTTAAGTAGAGGAAATTTGTTTTCAATTTTACTCCCCATTCTTTCTATTGAATTTTTGTTTCTGCTATCATGGTTTTGATTTCCAAGAGCTCTTTTTGCTTATCTTCATAGTAATTACATTCTTAAAATAATTTTTTATTTTTTATTAACATATAATGTATTATTAGCCCCAGGGGTACAGGTCTATGAATCACCAGGTCATAGTAATTACTTTTTAAAATAGCTTCCTGCTGTTATTTTATGGATATAATATATTATCTCTCTGAGGATATTAATTATGGATTTTTTTTGTTTGTCTTATTTTTAAGTTTTTCTCCCTTGCAATTTCTTTTTTTAAGATTTTATTTATTTTATTTATTTTTTTTAAAGATTTTTATTTATTTGACAGACAGAGATCACAAGTAGGCAGAGTCAGGCAGAGAGAGAGGAGGAAGCAGGCTCCCTGCTGAGCAGAGAGCCCGACGCAGGACTCGATCCCAGGACCCTGAGATCATGACCTGAGCCGAAGGCAGCGGCTTAACCCACTGAGCCACCCAGCCGCCCAAGATTTTATTTATTTATTTGAGAGTGTGAGAGCACAGAGGGAGAGAGAGAGGGAGAAGCAGACTCCCTGCTGAGCGAAGAGCCCCATGTGGGGCCTGATCCCAGGACTCAGAGATCATGACCTGAGGCAAGGCAGACACTTAACCAACTGAGCCACCCAGGACCCCCTCTCCCTTGCAATTTCTGTTTCTTCTAAATTGCTTTTTTTCGGGGTGCCTGGGTGGCTCAGTGGGTTAAAGCCTCTGCCTTCAGCTCAGGTCATGATCTCAGGGTCCTGGGATCCAGCCCCGCATCAGGCTCTCTGTTTGGCAAGGGAGCCTGCTTCCTCCTTTCTCTCTGCCTGCCTCTCTGCCTACTTGTGATCTCTGTCAAAATAAATAAAATCTTAAATTGCTCTTTTTTTTCTTGTCTGCTTGGTTTCTTTCTTGTATATTAAAGGATTTCCTTACGTGTCTAATGATCCTTGGCTGCCTGCTTTTATTTTAGAGTGGGGACAGTAAAAAGTTGGAAAGACCTATGAGAGCTGGGACATGCAGGCCAAGGGCCTAACTGTAGGATTCTTTCGTCTATTTTGTTAAGAGAACCCTGATGAAAGTATCTTTGGGATTTGTCTTTTGGACTGGTCACATTCCCCAGAGGAGTTTTTCCAAAAGTATAATCATGCTCATTGTTTATCTTTGTTTAGGAATCAATTTCTCGGGTTTGCTAAGCCTGTTACCATTCCTCCATTTGTTTTCTAGCTTCTAAAATATTGCTGCTGTTGTCTCCTTTCCCTTTCTGGGCCTGGAGGATAATACGGGAATTTGCCCCCCACCCCAACCCCAGTCTTTAACTGGATGCCACCGTTATTTCTTTAGGGTGATTTTTTTTTTTTTTTTTTTTGGAAGACAATTATAGGATCGCGTAGAAAGGTTTTGACACTGATTACCAGATTGCCCTAAAGCTGTATGTGTATGTGAAAAGAGGAATGTTTTTACATAATTGTTTTGCAACAAGTATTAAGTAACTTTCATGGGTTTTGCGTGCACTCACCCATTGGCTTCTCACCCATTGGCTTCAATCCTCCACCTGGCGGGAGCAGTCTACAATGCAAGAAACGTGTTAAAAAAAGAGAGAGAGAGAGAGAGAGAGGGAGGGAGGGAG